AGCAGCCCTGTGGAGAAGGACTTGTGAGTACAGATGGATGAAAAGATGGACATGAGTTCGCAATTTGGCCCAGAAAGCCAACCATATCCTGAGCTGCATCAAAAGAAGCCTGGTCAGCTTCTTTTGGTCAAGGGAACTGATTTTCGCCCTCTACTCCACTCTCATGAGACCCCATCTAGAGGACTTCATTCATCTGTAGGGCCCCCAGCATGAGAAGGACACAAACCTGCTTGAGTAGGGCCACAAAGATGATGAAGGGACTGGAGCACCTCCCTTATGAGGACAGGCTGAGAGAGTTGGGGTTGTTCAGCATGACCTTTGTGTTCTTACTCTCTGTATCCAACTGTGATTAGCAATGTAAGTAAGTCTTAACAGTTAACAGTGTGTTCATGGTAAAATAAATATCCCAAGAACAACTGGCAGCAGGTCCCGTTAAGCCCTATACCTTACTTTGATTAGCAGGCATAGCATTTTGTAGTTGGTTATGACTGATACATGCATTTGAACTTACTCTTACAAAATCTCTTCAGCTTGGACGATAAGCATATCTGAATATTGCGTGTTCTGCACTGTCTCAGCTTTTGAGTGACTGCTCCCTGGGAGCAGAGTTATTCCTTCTCATTATAGCAAATCCATTCAGCAGCTGCAAGGGGAAATCCTACTGTCATAACAGCTACAGCACACTCAAACTGCTTAACAAACAGTGGCTGGTTTTTTAAAGGACTGAAAACCTCATTCTCCTCTTGTAGAGGCATCAAGCTCAGATTATAATGGACAGTGTTATTACCGTGTATAACAACAAACTGTGATGTAACATACCCTCTCTTCTCTTGGGAATGATTTGCTCTTTGTAGTATATGGACCAGGAACAAGACTCAGTTACCAGAAATTACCTCTCACACTGACATCTCTGAGGGTGGTGTCTTTCACTTTAACATATTAAACCGCTTGCTGTGTGTCGTGGAAATGTGCTGTCTTTGGATGGTGTGCTGCTTGAGAGCCAGCAGGCAGGCCTGTTGCAGGGTTAGGTGAACTTTCACTTGACTGGATTGGTCATGCCATGCTAAAGCAATTAGTGCTTCTTGACTGGCAGCAAGTGGACATTTCCCAACACCTCCCTCAGGCAGCTCCTTGTGTGGTGTTCACAATTTAATCTAATCCTTTTCATACAGACCTGAAGTTTTGGGCTGAGAAAACTAGAGATAGTATTACATTGCCCTACATTAAATATACCAATAGTGAGGACAGAACTGTAGAATTTGGACAACTGAATTTTGTATTTGATCCTGTGAACTAGCAACCATCTTTCCATGATGATATTTTATCTTCTGGTGAACTTCACCAGCTGAAAAGAGAATTGCCTTTGCCATAGTAGCCCTACTCTAGTACTGGTTGTTTTGCAACCATTTGGGGTGGGCAAATCCAACCTATCCATGCTGATGGGTGAGATCTGTGGTACTACCTGCAGATCCTCACTGATGTGTTACCCACCTCAACCACATTCCCAAAGTTGTACTGTTGTTTTCTCCAGTAGACATGTCTCAGTTGAAGAGGGTGTGAGAGTCTGGAGTGCACCAACAGGCTTTGTATGCTCTGACCAGCTTGTGGTTACAACATGGTTATATTTCTGTATAACCCTTTTCTTCAGCCTTCCCTCCTGCCTCCCAAGATTTTGCTCTCTTTCTTTCTTCTGCTGTTTCTTACAACATAACTTTTTCCATAGGAGCCTGATCAAGGGTTACAGAGCTGCACCATATCAGATCTGACCAGTTCCCCTCTAGTGCTGTTACCCCCCTGCACAAGGGATAACGTGCAAAGAGTGCCACAATCCCTTATGAAGGAGAGACATTAAATATGAAAATATTTAAAACAATTTAAAAGAATCTGTTTAAAGGGCCACTCCGTCCAAAAAATAAAAAATGAACCAACCTGGCCATGAATTAAAATATGGGCCATTATGCCAGAACAGAAAAGATGGTCTGACCTTATTATAACGTAAAGTCAGGTACTCAGTTCATGAAAAAAAAATTCACATGCAAAAAGAACCCCAATGTTAAGTTTGCAAAAAGAAGAGCCAGAAACCAAATGTGTTAACCCCCTCACTCAATGCTAGAGTGGAAGGAAAGTAGGCTTCACCATTGCTTCCACCGGTAAATAGTTGTGGGGAGCAGTCAAGTGTGCTACAAAAGCTGGAGGCTGCGAGAGCAAGAGCTGGAAGCATCTTCTGGTGCTCTGCTACCTTACTGACGTGTGACGGGTCATTAGCTGCTGCTTAGCTTCTGGCTTGTTTTTCTGTGACTAACTCCTCTCTGCTAATGATGTCCACTGTCAGATAACATATATACTTTAAGCAAAGCCTGTGTTTTGCACTGCTGCTCCCCTTAAGCAATGTAACTATGCAAATCAGGCTTCTGCAGCAGCTGGAGAGGTGGGGTACAGAAAGAATCCCTCCCAGTATAATTTATCTTTGAAGTTCTCTCTTTTGATTCTTTTCTTCATAGGCCTTATTTGGTGCAGGAGAGCACAGGAGAACATGCCAGACTGTTTTGATGGTGGTTTTTCGTTTGTTTGTTTTGATTTCTTTTCTTTTCTTTTTGTGTGGTGGTGTTTGTTTGTTTGTTTGTTTGTTTGTTTTTTCCACACATGCAAACTAATTCCTGGTGCAGAGCATGGCTGTAGTCTGAGCTGCACAAGATTATTACATTATACAGCTTCAAAACCTTGGGAAGTAGGGAGATCACTACATTCAAATATCAGGGGAGACTATTTCATGGGGAGGAATGGTTCACATCTGTGTTGTCTGTAGAACATGGGGCTAAAAGGAAGCTGTCCTGTACTTCATACAGGATTTATATGTCAAAGGAACTACTTTGTACACCCAAGAGCGAACTGACATCTGTTGAATTTGGGCAGTTGAAGAGCTGACTCCCTGAAGTCACTTCCAGAAATCACTCCCCGGAGTGGTACAAGAAATAAACTGAACTGACAGATCCATCTATACATTCATAGTTTTACTGAATATTGCTCTGTTAGGGTGCGCAGAGTTGGTGATGTGGTCCTAAATGAAGGGTTCTGTAAACGAGCTCCATGTTATTGTGATCGTATAGGATCTTTCTTTGGTTCCCATCTGAATTTAACTTGCATTTTACTATGGATCTGGAAAAAACAATGAAGATAGTTTACCATATTCAAACCTTGCTTCAAACTAGATGTGAACATCTGCCATGTGTGAATATTTCATAAGGCTGAAAAAAACAAAAGGTGGAAGGATGTGACAATGACATTCATTGCTACTTCCATAAATGGTGTTGACTGTAGAAATTGTTGTGCCTTACTCTTGCTTGTTTAGTTGACACATTTTTGGAACAGACCCTGGACTTGGATTCTGTTGCTAAAATTTCTGCATAATATGTATGTATCCCTCATGGGTCTCATTTGCTTTTAATGGGATTAATGCATTTCTCGTTTCAGTGAGCATCTAGATACCTGTGATTTTAAAGTATTGAAAAGATCTCAACCTTTTCCTGTATTCTCTTTGTTAGGCTTGTTAAGACATAAATATTTTATTTCTTACTTAGATTTCAGTTGATGGCTTCAGAAATATTGCCAATGGCTGCAGTGGGATTCAAGATTTGCTAATCAACAAAATGCCAACTCTTGCAGACAGATGTATTCAAGTAAGAAATCAAAAATAAATCTGTACTTTGAGAAAAAAATCTCATATTTGAACTGTTTTAATCCTCTGAAATGAGCTTAAAGAGAGTTAAGCAGATACAATTTAAGAGGAAAAGTTATCTCTGAAAACATTTATAAAAAATATTATCTAATTATGTTTGTGAATCTTGCTCACTTGCAGTCACTTTCAGAAAACTTCAGTTGTCTTGTCTTCTTTTACATGGGTATGGCTGAATTATGGTCTTCTGGTTTATAAATTAGAGTTTTTCATTTTTTTTCAGTGTTAAGCAAATACAATATATGGGAGAAATGTTTTGCTACTGCTTTTGCAAATCCAAAAAGAATTCTCAGGCTTTTGAAAAAGTGAATGTTAACTAGATCACTGCCTGGGGTGTCAGCCATACTTCATGACTCTGGTTACTTCTTTCCCTTGTGTTCCCAAACATAGTAAATATATGGAGAATTTCAGTAGTTTATATACTGCCCAGTGTATAGAAGTTACTGTTAAAATGGATTATAGCTACTTGTTTGAAATTGTAGCATTAAGTATTATATGCAGAATATTTGCTAATCTTTTGTTATGTGACATCATAGATATATGTATATTTTATTCCATCTTTTTCCTTTCAAAGGCTCTGGTTGAAAAATGCCAACAGATAATGGCTGTTGTCTTTCATGACTCTCCACATCTTTCTGATACAACTTTTAAAGCTCTTACTGAATGTAAACTTGTCAAAGTCAGCATTGAAGGTTTGTATAGTAATTCACAAAATTGTTATTATGATGCATTTTTAAAATTCATCCAGCTGATTTGAAATCAACCTTTCAGCTGATTTCAGTGGGTATTGGGATGAGGCCCTTAACGTATGTCAGGTGTATAACTTACATCTTTATATATTTCAACAGGGAATAACCAAATTACTGATTTGAGTTTAGAGTTGGTGAGTAAATGCTGCCCATACATCAGACACATTCATATGGCTGATTGCCAGAGGATTACGGATGCTGGCCTTAAGATGATTTCACCACTGAAGCATATTCTTGTACTGAACGTGGCAAACTGCAGAAGGTACCATATCACATCCAGACTTCTCTAAACCATTGCAAAGGAATGCTCATAAAGTTAATTATAATAAGTGCTATGAGCACATCTTTCAGTTTTAAAAATAAATTCTTAGAATGTTAATACATGTATCTTAATATTAAAAAAAAAAAAAAAATTATGCACGTATTTTTTTGTTCCTGTATCATGTTTTAAAAAAAAAAAAAGATTACTCCAGTTCAAGCAAAAAATTCAACTGTAGATGTATTTTACTCAATAGCTATGGCATATTGTAGTGCCAGAATATGGCTATGAAGAAGATTAAAATTATAACCAAAGACAATGCCAGTGCCACTGCTCTATTAAAATTTGGATATTGTTTAATTTTGTGAATATTAAAATAATACTTTATAACTAATATTAAGATACAGACAAAAATTCTGCTTTTTTACAACAAGACCACACTGTAATTTATGTGGTAGAGGAAGGATATATTTTATGTGTAGACTGTTTTTCACTTCAGATGTGTCATGTATCAGTAGAAACAAAGACAGCCGAAAGGGCTCCCAAAGCTGCACACTTGTTCCCTCCTCTGTGGCCCGGCGTTGGAGTCAGTGGTGGGAGGGAACAGGGAAGGCAAAACCTCTGAACGTTTCAGAATCAACAGATCTATAAAATAATATGAAGCTAGAATTACTGCTTATCTTAAAATTTCTGACATCATGTGAAGTTTTAGGATTTCTGTTTTAATTTGTAGCTAAAGTACTTTTTGTGCCTGTTAATGCTGTATGAACATCTGATAACATTGCATGTGGATGAGCTGGGAAGTGCTGGAGCAGCACGGTGACATCATGTTGGTAGTTTGTCTGGGCAGATGGGACAGCTGCCTGCATTTTCTGGTTTAGCATTTAGAAGGCTGGATTTTCCAGTCTGTTAGCCAAATCTTGAACTGTGAGTGTGTTTGCACATGTGTCAATTGTCTATACTGCTAAAGAATTGCCGAATTTAACAAAACTTTTAAAGTAGTTGTAAGGCTATTGTAAAATACTGTACGTATATCGTTGCTTTTGCAGAAACTTGTAAAAGTTTCATCATTAATAAAGTTATAGATTGTAACACATCCAAACTTGGTGAAGGGTTTCTCTCAAGTGATAGGAAACTGCAAAAGGGAGATTGTTTGTATTTATGTTTTTCTTATTTGCACAATGTGTTGCTGCAAAAGTTCACATTGTGAGTCAGAAACATTTAGGAATTTCTCATTGAAATCAAGGGAAGCAACATACTGGTGGTAGAATCTTGAGAACAGATTTTGAAATGTTTAACCCTCTCAGTGCTCTTAATAATTTTCTTTTTTTAATTGATGTTTTATCTAAGAGTCTATGCTTTTCTAGCTTAGTCATATGGAAAATTTCTTCCAAAAGAAAAGGGACAGAGCAAATCTAACAATTCACAGTTCTTAAATTACAGGAAGTATTTGGATACATGTGACAAATTAAATGAAACTAACTGGTCGTGGTTATTAGAATTAAGAAATAAGAGAGTTGTGAGTAAAATGTTGTTTGAAAATGGACACAGGCAATATGGCAACTCATACCCTTGGCACATTTTCCCAGTTTCAGTAGGTTGTCTTCATGCATGGTAAAGCAGTGTGTTGCCTATGTCATTATTGCAGTTAAGCAGCTGACTAGAGAAACTGAGGATCTGTGTTCACAATTATTTCAAAAGTTATTATGTGGCTATTTCAGCCCTTAAGCCCAATGGAGTTACAGACTATCTTTTTTTTTCTTTTCTTTTCTTTTTTTTAATTTAGTTAACAGTGTTGCCAGGCTCTCGTGCCTTACTGTCTATGCAAGTTAAATATACTGAAAGTATATTTCTTAAATTTATCTATCTTGAATGAAAAACAACTGCACAGTGAAATAACACCAAAACTACCACAATGATTGACTTATTGTAGAGTGATTACTTTGACACTCTATGAATTACAGCTTCAGCTGCAGCTTGTGGTCACACAATGAGGCTCTGTTCAGGTTATCGTTTTATTAGAAGTGCTATTCCTACCCATATGTTTCTAGGACTTCAGGATTTGCAGTGATTCTTTGTGCTGTAACAAACTATACAAGCCAAAATATGATTCTGTTCTACAGAATTCTGGGATTAATTTTTTATTCATCAGGGAACATGGAATAAATACTGGGAATGCATTGCAAAGCTAAGTGCACAAGTAATGTTAAACATACCAGAGAGATGAACTTTGTTGAAACTCCTGAGCTATAGTCAAATCTCTAACCCTTTCAGCTTGGCTCAAAATTTTTCTGTCTACTTGATTTTTATGACCTTTGTGTATATCCTGAGTTCCAGATTTTTATGTAAGACATACAATTAAGTGAAACACTCCAAGGAACAACTCAGGTTAACTCTTCATGCATGTGTCCGAACAGCTACTACACACATATACTACCTACAACTTTTGCTTTTGTACTAGAAGATAAATTTTCCTTTAAGTAAATTCAGTTGCTTAAATTAACAAAGATACTAAAACAAATTTTACTCTAAAACGTTTAAGCAGATTCTGATACTTTCTAGATATTTTTTCCAAGCTCTGTCTTTTGAAGTGATGTCATACCTGGGTGTTGGAACTAATGGAAGTTCTCATAATCTCTGACTTTCTTTTTCAGGGAGTTCTGGTTTTCAGCATTTCCAAAAAGCAGCATCTTTCTAATTAAGCCATTAATTATTCTGATTCCTTTTTGGGTTAAAAAGCTATTTAAAATATACCATGATTGTTTTCTGACTAACTACAATATAGATTGTGAATGCAAATTTTATATGTTGTATATGAATTGTATGTTATAGGAAAAATACATGTTATAAATATTACCTGCGTTTCTGTTTTAGAATCAGTGATGGAGGTGTAAGGCCATTTGTACAAGGTTCTTCAGGAGCACAGCTTAGAGAGCTGAATTTGGCTGATTGTATTTGCGTCACTGATGCTTCTGTCACAGAAATAGCACAAAGGTACCATAGTCCAGTAAAATATTTTTCTAGTGTGGTTAGACTTTCAACATATCTCTAATGTTAATGTTCTTAATATATTTATAAATGGGTAAAGTTATACAGCCAATTATACACAGAAAATTGTACTAGATAAATGACTTGTCCCTTTTGGCATTGTGAATGTCTTAAAAAATGATCCACTATATAAAGGGGAATTCATCAACACAGATGTGGAAACTTGAGAATTCTTAATTTTAGACAGAAAAAAAGTGCTTAAATGATGGTTGTCAGTGACAAAACTGCATTAAAAAATTAGTAGGTATAAGTCACATTTTTTGTAAACCAAATAAATACTGATTCACAAACAAAAAGCACTTTTATTGCTAAAGTTCTTCAATTTCAGTGTCTCGGAAGTAGTATTGGATAGCTGAGCATCACCGAGCATAGATGCACTGTTTGAGGAGTCACATTTCTCAGGTCTTCTGGGTTGGTTATGGGAACATACAGTTTGTGGTGCTTACATGCACAATAAAATGCACTCTTCCCTGTATGGTCAGTGAGTGCTGATTTTCAGAGCCTGGCAATGTCTTCATTTGCTGTGCAGCATTATTTGTGTAGTTGTAACTGGGTGTGGGTACAGCTGTGGGGTCCTGAATTCTGGCACTGCAGTCAGTGAGCTCTGAAGTTCTTGTGCAAGATATGAGGGATTTGCAGATGAGGACCAGTCAAACATCAAACTAATTAAAAAAATATTTTCATTTGTAATACAGTTCCTTGAATTCCATATTTTGATTTAATCTCTTTGCTGTTCATGGTTTGAAATATTTGCAATGCTTATGCATTGTGAGTATAATCTTTGAAAGTGCCTATGTAAGCTAGGTGTGAAAAATCTAGTATAATTCCCTGGGTCTAGAATGCTTATTTTCATTAGTCCCCTTAAAAAAAAAAAAAAAACAACAACAAACCTTTGCAAGGTTTATTACAAGAATGTACATGTTATACTTCATTTCTGTAACTAAAGTGGAAAGATGATATTTCTGTTTGGTTGGTTGCTTTGTTTTTAAATCTAATTTAGATGTCATGAATTGACCTACCTAAATCTGCATCACTGTGAAAATGTGACTGATGCTGGAATTGAAGCTTTGAGAAATATATCATCGTTAATATCCATTGATCTCTCTGGAACCAGCATCTCAGATACGGTATAAATATATATATATATCTATCTATAGGAATGAAGAATGTGTTTACTATTTATCTGGGCTTTCTGAAAAAAATGTAGTAAAAATCTATCAATTTAAAAAACCTGCATGGCTAGGAAGCAGTGGAGTTGCATGAAAACATATTTTAGAAATTTAGATAATACAATATTAGCCCACGTATAAGCAGTACTCAATGAAAGTGTTGGGCAATTCTCACATTTGAAAGAGAGCAACAGAAACTGTTAAAAAGAGAAAGCTTGGCTGCTGTGAAATGGATCTGAAAAAAAAAATGTCTCTTAAACAAAAATTTTTGCTCCAGCATGACTCGGAAAAAATGGGATATTTAAAATTTTTTGTGTTTGTAAAAGTTGTGTTTCATCAACTAGATTTTATGGTGAAAAACGCTGAATGTTAGCTCTGGCACAGGCACTGCTCTGCACTGTGGTCTAGAAAATAATTGCTAGTGAAAGAATTACTAACAAGGTATCTTCATGTGTCAAGTTGCTAAGACTCTGGAAAGCAAAACAGCAAGTGTGAGAGCCAGGTTAAACATCATAGGCCTCCACATTAGATGTTCTTGGCAGGTCCTGCCTTGTGTGCAGTATTCAGAGCCAGTTCTGCTGTTTCTTTCAGTTTTGGGACAAACTCTTGTCACAGAGCAGAGAAATCTTGTGAAGAAAACCTACAAATATGACCTACTCAGTCAGTCACAATTCAAACATGAATCTGAGCAAGAACCTGACTATTTGGCTCTAGCACAGAGTTGTGCAAAAGTAGTTAAAAAGTGAAAAAAGTCATTATAATGCCTGTATGTCTTATAAAGGCCTGAAAAAAAAACAAAACAAAACAAAAAACCAAACAACTACTAAGCTAAATAAAGAGAGTTAGGAATCCAAGAAGACTTCATTTAAATGTGATTGTTTGAAAGATGATAAAATTATATCTGAATGAAGTGTATGCTGCCTTGAATTACCATACCACAATGTTTCAACATAGATGTTTTCTTTCTCCTTGCCTGCCCCAGCGAGTCTTTCAAAATGCTGTGTTGCTTCTTACTCTAGTTTTCACATAGCACAACCCATGACCTGGGCAATAAGCCAAACTCTTTTGCTTACACTGCATTTCTAAGGCTTTCAGTTTTCTCTCTCCCACCAGACAGATAAATTAACCTGGAAACTGACCATTTATCATTTTTGTAATTTGTGACCTGATTGCTAGGACTAGCTACAGAAATGTTGCAGTTTTTGCTGTTTGCTGTGTTTCGGTATACAACATTCACACAGGCATCGTACATACGTTCTCCAGTCTTAAACTGTTGTTTGATCAACAACAATTTGGCAATCCAGCAGTCTGCTTTGTAACAAGCTACTGTCTGTATGCTTTGACTTTATGCTATGCATTTTATTAGCATGTAGAGGAAGTTGTATTAGTCTTTCAGTTCTGACTTTGTAAGTATTGCTTTAAAATTATAGCAGAGGGACAGAGTTCTATGTGTGGTGATCGACACCATTACACTGTGCTGATAAAGAAAATTTGTAAGGCTCATGTGCTTTGCAGTCTGTGCAGTAGTTCTCTGTTGCTTTTGTGAAAAATGTAGCATGTACAACATAGATTTGCTCTGTGAAAGAGAGTTTTCCTTTCTGGTTTTTCAAATGGCGGCAGAATCATTCTGCCCATCAAAGCAGAACAGAATTTACTGCAAGTATGACATATACTTAAGGGAAGGTTATGGAAGAAAGGGTACAGTAAAGTCAGATTTTCTTAGGATTTGTTTCTCAAGTATGACTGACAATTAAAATTGAAGGGTTTTCTGCACTGCTGGTGGTTTCCTCTTCTGTAGTTGCTCTGATGAATGATATATAAGAGTGATAAGTGATTATTGTGATCTGTCTTTCATTCAGGGCATTCATTCCATTTGGAAGAAAACTCTTACTAGACTCTTAGAATTGTCCCTGACAAGAGGTCTTGTTAATAAAAAAAAAAAACCAAACCAAAACTACAGTACACTGTAGACTCAGTGATTAAAAAATTTAGTGCTAATAAGAAATACATTAAAAGTCTCTCAAATGTAGAGAAGTTTATTATCCTTGTCCTGAGTTTGCTTCTCAACAGAAAGACTGGAAATTGAATAAAAATAATTATTGCATATATTCAGATTTTGGTATTGTGTGGGAAGTTATGAATTTTACATAGAGAGAAAAGGGCTAGGAAAACTTGTAAAAACAAGCTACAATAAGGCAATTAATTAATCACATGTTTAAGTTGTACATTTGCTTAAGTGTCTTGCTAAATAAGTCAAAGACCTTTTCAGACTGGACATTAGGAAGAACTTTTTGCCTGAACAGGATGTCAGGCACTGGAACAGGCTGCCCAGGGAGCTGGTTGAGTCACCATCCCTGGAGGTGTTTAAAAGCCATGTAGATGTGGTGCTTGGGGATGGGGCTTAGAGGTGGAGTTAGTAGAGCAGGGTTAATGGCTGGAATTGGTGATCTTAAAGATCTTTTCCAATCAGTGATTCTATGATGTTTCATTAACAAAACCAAATATTATCCAATGAAGAGGATGTCAGCTTTATGCATAAGAGAAACTGATGGCATACTGAAGAAATTGCTGTACTTTTCTAATTAGAGAAAACAAACATTAAATTAAAACTTCATACCACAATTACGTTTTAAATATTAATTTATCCACTCAGTTGCAACTTTTTTTAATAGTGGGAAGGACATTTGTTCTGGTTTTGTCATTCTTGAAGTACTAGAAATTGGTTTCTTAGACTTATGAACAACCTTAAAAGAGATTTAGAAATGAAAAGATTTGCAATTTAGAAACAGAATTTCTTTAAAAAAAAAAAAAATCTTCACTGACAGAGCAAAGATGCCGAATTCTTTGGAAAAAACCCTTCAAATTCTTTTGAGAAAACTTCCTTTTTTTTCCAGCTAGCTAATCTCTCAGCCCTCATTGTTTTCCCTCATGTTTTACTCTTCTAAACTTCCTGGAATAGGGACAATAGTGTTTTAAGTTGAGACTATGGTGAACATATCCATGAATGCATAAATAATATTGCAAGTCAGTTTAGATATATAAAGGTATTTACAATATATGAAAAGTATTTAAGCTTTTATTATGGAGCTGGAAACATTAGCATTTAGAACCAAAACCTATTTGTCTTTTTTATAAAACGGTCTCGGTGGAAATGCTTCCATGAGTTAGAAAAGCAGTTTTAATTATAAACTTTATTCTCATTCTCTCCATATTTTTCTTAAAATGTCTTGAACTTCTTCTGATGTCTATATGGTGCAGCTTTGACAGCTTTGCTCCATGTCTGAGAGTCTGAAAGTGTGCAGCTGCCCAGCTTTCCTCACTCCTGTACAAGTTGCTGATGCACATGGCCTGGATCACCCATTTTCCTGGGACATGAAAAAGAAAATTAAGTATGGAATTGTCAGGACATTTTAAGCAAGTGTCTTAAGTCAAGCAGGATTTAAACAGAAAAAGTATAGGAAAGAATATATAAGGATTTGTTGAAGAAACTTAGTTGACTCCTGAGGCTAGCAAGATGGAGTTGACTCTAGAGCCTCCAGCAACAAAAACAGTAGATGCCCTGATTCAGGAAAGCTTAATATCAGTGGTGAATTATATGCAGTGTGATAATAAGAGAGAAAAAAATAGCCTAAAACATAAAAAATGGGTGAAATACTTTAAAAACAGGAAGAACCCTGATGCACTCCTGAAATCAAAGATAAAAAGGAAATAGGAAGTGTACAGAGAAATATTCTTTGCTTTTGCATTTTCTTCTGCAATGATTGTCGTGTATGGAATTCTCTCTCATATTAATCTAAGGCTCCATTCTTCTAGCTGAAACTCCTCCTCAAAAATTATCTGTGACATCAAGTCAGCTAATAAGTCACAGATGTTTTGCATGCTATGCATGCAATGCATGCTACTCTTTAAAGTTGAGGATATTTGTGTTATCATTGGGAACTTTGGAGCAGTGGTTATATGGCTAACAGCTCAGCTTTCTTTTCTCATGTGTTTGTGCCTGATGATCATCAGATCCTGGCTGGTCCTGAAGGCCAGGCTGCAACACAAATATTTACCAATATTTTAATAATCAGTTTCTAAATAGGAGAGGAAAAAAGCTCCAAAAGTGGAATTTTGGCTTTCCACAGTTATCTAGAGTAATTTCTTTGCACTCTTACTGGGATTCTGAATCTATGGTGAATAAAAACCATAGCCTGGCTCCACATTTTGGTCTATTAGAAAATTAAGTGAGTAGGGCTGAGAGAGAGCATTGTAAAGGTTAAGGAAAAAATATTGTGAGATCTAATAGATATAACCAGTAACAGACTGCAAATGAATTAGTTGTATTTGATTTCCAAAGGAAGGGATATAACAAATCACATGCATTCCCAAGGCAGGGAAAAGGAAATGTTAAAATACATTAAAGCGGGCCTCAAATTCAGATGTTAGCAGTATAGTTTACTTGAGAGAGTAGAGAAAGAGAAAATTTGAGCTGGAGACTTAGCAACCTGATTCTGCATAGAGATAGGAAATACTAACAGGGAGAGTCATTAGAATCGATGCCAGCTGTGCTAACACCTTGAGTCCCAATGCAGATCAGTAGGAATTAAAGGTACTTACCAATGTTGAAAATCTGGCTCAATATTTTTAGAGGACATTTTGTTATAATGGAAGCCTTGTCATCTGGACTTAGTGTCAAGAAATATTGGCAACCACATTGCATAAGTTATGATCTGATCTAACCGCAAACGGTGTTAGGTACAGAAATTAAATTTTATGGCATGCATTTTACACAAAGTCAGACAGGGATTTCTCCACTGTGATAGAAAAAATGTCTCTACAGTTCCTATAAACAGGTCTGACCAACCTTTATATTAGCTCAGGTGCTGGAAACAGTATAGCTACCCTTGCTTAAGAACTTACACATTTTTTCATGAATATGAACTCTGTTCTGCCTTGTATATATTGTTATTAGCACAATAATACTGTGTGATAGGGCTCACATTCTTCTAGTGTTTAATCCATGAAACTGGTGCCTGACTATGGCTCATCTATGCAGAAACCTGAGCATTTTAAGAGGATAGGCTGAGTCAAATTTAATATTAAATGGCTTAGACGTGGAAGGTGGGAGATAGCTCTTCAGAGTTGTCTCCCAAGATGGGAGTCACTTGGAAGTCAATCTGTTTGGTTTGGGGTATGAACAGGAAGTAACATCTGTATATCTCTGGAATATAAAGATACATTACAGATGCTGACCTTTAAGGTTACAAAGAGATATGTGAACAGACATCTCAGAAGATGTTGAAAATAGCATAGCACATGGTTATTGTTAGCAAGGGATGGTACATTCGTTGCAGTCTGCAGAGACTTGCAGCTTGCAAATATAAATAATAAAGACTTGAACTTTGGTATGCCATAGCCTCAGATGACTTTTGTCTCAAGCAAGTGAAGGCCCTCACCAACTGGTACTGCAGATACTCATTTCTCATCTACAAAAACCATGGTGAAATAATAATAAATGATGTTCTGCGAATGTTTGTAGGCCTTACATAATAAATATATAAAACAGAACAAAAATGTAAGAATTGCTTGAAAAAAAACTTGTAAATGAATAAGAAATTTCTTTTAAAGTTGTTTTCTACATGGAAATGTTAATATACATGCTAGACAGGATGAGCAAGACAAAGTCTTCCCCTTCTCCATGGCAACAGAAGATTGGCCCAACAAACATGAGGTGATTTAAAGGGGAAATATGTTTTTGGAAACACACAGAGTGGGTGATCCTAGTCTTTATGCTGCACAGTATTTGTTTTGCCAGCATCTGTTTCCAGGAGTTCCAATGATCATGTGATAGCTCTGATTATGTCTTTCAAAAATGTCAGGAGGCTTAGTGTAGAAGTCTCTAGAAAGAGGTCAGTATCCTGGATCCCTGATGTTCTTTATCAAGGAATACCACTCAATAAATAAGGAAGTCTGATAAAACTAGTGATAATTGGCTCCTTTTTTCATATGTTATATCTAAAAATAATAATTAAAAATACCATATAGATTAGACTTCCTGTGTAGAGCTTGTTAAAGAGGTTCGGTTTGGAAACGTAAAAGTTTCACAGCTTTTCTATGTAGTAGACATTTTTTATAAATGATATTTTTGTCATTGATATTTTTTGTCTTTGATATCTTCACCCTTTTCCTTCTCAAATCTGGAATTATTAATGAAATGCCTCAAAGAAGACCTTGACTTTAACTGAAAAAAAAAAAAAATTGTTCTCTGTTTCAATGTCACGCTAGTCATATAAAATGATAATAAATTAACTTTGAAGTCATAGCAGCATCACTCGTCAAGTGGCAAAAAATATCTGTATAATATTCTTTCGTATTCCATTATCAAGTACATTAAAGTGGTGTCACTTTTAAATAAAGAAAAATGCAAGAAGAAATTATGTCCATAAGGTCACACCTATCACTGTCAGTCTCTGCTGTAAGGAATTCAAGTCCTGACATAAACCCATTTGGGGTTTAAGTATATAATTGGGTCTTTGTCTTGAATGAGAGTGCTCTGGTCAACAAAAATTTGAAATCTGTAGATTTTCATGAAGCTGTTGAAAGTAACGGTCACCACAAAACTGCATCTGCTGAGAGAAATGCAAATTTCTCTGTTTTTATAAGTAGGCAGGGTTAGAAATCTTTTTCATTGTTCCATTTTTTGTTTTTATTCAGCCTGTGAGGTTTCAGGAATTTGCAAAATTTGAACTCCAGCCGCACTCTTCCAGCATTATCATTACAGTGTCCACATCTGGATTCCAGACACTATTTACATGTGCTTATTTTTTCAAGATGATATTTCCTCTCTGTGCAATCCTGATCACTGTCTAATTGTAGATAATTTATTAACCATATGGAATAAAGTGATAACTTTGTTTCTCAGTGATGTTTACTTTATTGATATGAAGCACAGAGAGACTCTGCTGCTACTATCAAAATACATTTTACAAAATCAACATTTAATTCTCCCTCAGATTGGAAAGTTTAGGATCAGAACATAGTCCTGTTCCTCCTTATAAAGAGTAAAAATCACAAAGCATTTTCAGATATATTTGCACTCTTTAAATAGGATTTTACCAATATTTTCACCTCCCTTTTGTCCTGAGTATGAGGGTGATTTGTACATCTGTGAGTGTGACTGCACTATTTCAATTGTTGTCTTGTACTGTAGCCATGAAGCCCTTCCTACTAAGCAAATCATAAAGGCAGCAACTTTAAGATATTATTCAGTCTTAGCAAATAGTTTTTTGTTCTTCCAGCAAAAAAGAAAAAAAAAAAAGTGAAAAATTCTTTCAAACACAGATTCTGGAGGAGATCTGTAAATGTAATTTGTTTTATGAGAGTCCTGGTCTATGTCCTGTGGAAGTATTTTGCACCACACTGCTTTTCTTCAGGTTTTTTTTCTGAACAGGGAGGAAAATATAATTTTTTTTGGTTTCTCAATTGCATTATTTCTGCAAAGAATTCTTAACCTGTGTACATACTTGAAGGACAAACTATATGTATTCTGCTGAAAAGAATGTCTTAAAATGTGCTGTAATTCTTAGAAGCTTTAATAGACAAACATTGGATATTATTGACAGTCTTATAATATTAAATATAATTACATATAATTGCATGTATGGATTTAAAAAAATTTTTTTTTGTTTTTGGAATTTGTTAGGGCTTGGGAGCTCTTGGTCACCATGGAAAAATAAAGGAACTTTATATATCAGAATGCAAAACCATCAGTGATACTGGGATTCAGGTAAAAATTCACTTCTTTTCTTGGTGTTTCCTGGAAGTGTTTCTATTTCCTCAAATTGACCTCCAAAATCGATGTTATTTTACTCTGTACATCGTCATTCATTCTTCATTACAATGTTCTACACAATCACTCTTACATATTATTCTCCCCTTTAATTTCTTTCAATTTTTTTTTCATTCCTTCCATGAAATTCATGACATCTTGAATTTTGCTTAACTCTGAAATTTACTCCACAAGAGTCTTCATATCTACTGAATTATACTGTGCAAATTGCAATCTAAATTGCTGGTCCTATTATTTCTTTCTTGGTCTAAAAATGCTTCACTATTTCTATCTAAAATACACTTTCCTCGTCACTCATGTGGGCTTTCAGGTCTTTCTGCTTCTTTATTCAGCCATTTGCTGAATGCTGTATTTAGATGGCTTAGTATGTCTAGCTCAATGGAATAGTTTCATTTCTTTTTGTCTGTTACACTTGGTTCCTCATGTGCTGCTGATATATTGCTGCACATCATTATCTCTTCGTGACACAAGAATATGTCTCAATATACTTCTGAAAGTGTATTTCTTATCAGCATAAGTGATATGATTACTATGATTAAAAAAAAAATTATTTCCATAAGAGATGCATGTGCATCTTTGCCAGATGGAATACGTCTTAGCTGTTTTATGGGAAAAATATCACAGATTCCACTGTGTCCTTATTTGAATAAAACCTTTAAAAATGTTCTATGAAAACATCAAACTTCTAATTTATTAATATCTAATAATAAAATTAATCTACTAGAAAATGCCCTATGTGTTTTTTAAGCCATAATTTTGAAATACTGACTTCTTATTCTAAAGATCTCATCATGCTCACAGCATGACAGCTATTGAATCTGACTAAACCTCTTCCATTGTTTTTCTTTCTGAAGTTATTATTATATGCAGTGATTTTGAAATGTAAATATTGCATCTGGGCAATGTAAAGCTAGAAATAGTTCTTAAAATAAAAAGATCAGCTTAAAACATGTATTGTTTAGTGTTCTGATCTCATACACAGCCTGTGAATTTAGAAATTTCCCAGGCTCAGTAATATTGATAAAGTAATCAGACAGGAAATGAATTTGCAGAAAGACAACCTACAAACTGAAGTTGCCACAAAGGCAGTTATTTGCACTGATGATATGTTATAAAGTTACACAGTGACAAAGTACTTTCTTTTTTGAATAATCAACAATTATCATACAGATGCTAATACAGTATTTTAATTTCATTTTACAGTGCTTATAGATTCTGTAATATTTCTGATTTACTGATTATTGCTTTTTTTAATGAATACCAACAATGAAATTTGTCACCCAAACATTTATTAGACTGACACTATCATCGTAAGTATCAGCAGTAACTACATAGTAAATTGGAATTCATTAGTACTCATTGCTTTGTTTTGGTAAAGTCAGTTTTTTGGTGTTATCGTAATTCTTTTTAAGGGTAAAGCATTACACTGGGAACTGGAAAAGATTCAGAGAGGGTAATAGGGATGATCAGAAGTATGGTACAATCTCCATAAAAGGAACAGATAACTAAGCAAGGAACCTGCAGTCTGGAAAGGAAATGTCTGAGTGAATACGACTGAGATCTGTTCAACCACAAGTGGCATGAAAAGGGTGGACAGGGGTCAACATCTGCTGTTTACTTCCACCCCCATCCAGTGGGCATGAAAGGAACCTGGTTTAAAAACTCAGAATGAAGAAAAGGAGATGACTGTTGACAAAATGTACAGTTAAACTGTGAAATTCCTTATTACAGGTTGCTTGAAGTTTACCTAAGTCCTTATGGAGATTTGACAAATTCAGTATGATTGCATAGATTCACTGCTTCGTGTTTCAGAACATTCTAAGAAATGAACATCAGTTGGTAACTTGCCGTAGAAAAAAAGAACCATCCATCTTGTTCAAAGGAGAGAGGATTTACATCCAAATAAAGAGCACTTTTTTATTTCTGTAACTGAAAATTTTTCCTAACCATATGTAACAGAAATGCTTAAGTCGTATTTTTGAATGGTATCAATTTCATGCCCATAAACAGTTGCAGATCACAAGGCTGCAGGTACAGGCAAAGCCATCGGGTAATCCCAGTCTTCAGTTTCTACATTTTTTCCATTATGAACCTCCAACAGCCATCATTTTATAGCCATATATTGTAAGAATGAGTCAGTTGTTGCTGTACCACAAGGGATGCATCTGGACTGAATCTTATTACCCAATATACACGTCAGGACATTAGGATTTGCTTCTTTAGGAATAATTCTGACTTGCCTTTCGTGAATGCTCTGTGTAAAGTTCCATGTTTTAAACCAAACCAATGACCAAGTGTGTACATCTTGTGTACCTCATGGAGAGTCATGCAGCACCAGTGTTGCTGCTTCCAAAGGAGAATGTTCAGTTCTGTCTTGTACTATGGTTATGGCTAAGAAGCTATTTGAGTTGTCTCACTATATAGAGTAAGTTAAGTGTTTATGCTTTCCTTGTCTGCTGTATAAGTTTGAACTTTCTGAGGAAGAAAGCATGAGCAGGAGTACATGTAGGAATTACAGAAGCCACGTTGTCATGGATCTAGGGAGGGCAGCAGAAAGAAGAGATCTGCAATAACTTGAAAGAAAATGGCAATTCCTTTTTTGTAAATTGAATCTGAGGGTATGAGTTTATGGAAAATCTATAGAGAGTAACCTCATTGTATATTGCATGACTTGGTTATCCTTTGATTATATAAAGAATATTTAAATTATGTGTAAAGAAAATACATATTAGGAGGGCTTTACTCACACTGTTATGGCAAATTGCTGGAAAGCTGCAAAATAACTAATTCAACCAAAAATAATATAAACAGAAATAATGTTGACCGTACAGTGTTAATTAATTTGCTTCTTCCCAGGCATTATAACATTATGTCAATGTTTATGTGATCACATATTTTGTAAATAGGATCTTTGCTCATTCATAACTCAGATGATGCTCATTTAATGAGCAGCAATTTAATATTTTATATTTTCATCGATGCTTTTGTGTGTCCTCAGGCCTTATTTACATGGAATTAAAAGTATGTAAATAAGTCAGAAAATTATGTTATTTCCTTCATATGGTATGTGATTCTTTGTGGTGTCTAAGTGTTTTGCAAACATTACTTATCTTCACATGCTCTTCTGTTGTTTTCTTTATAGGCATAGAACCAGGGATACAGAGATGAAAATAGCAAACAAAACTCCATTCCTTTTGATTGCAAATGTAATTTTAGTGCTATTTGCAAAATAATGTAGGAGTAGACTTAAGAGCAAATTTGGAACCTAACATTGAAGGATATTTTAAATATGTATGTAGACAAACTATGCCAGTAAAAACAAGATAAACATATCTCACAGGCATTGAAATCTTGGGTTCAGATTGTGCTACATACCCTATCTGAGAATGTAGTGATTAAGTCATCATATCACAGCCTAATTCTGAAGGGAATGCAGTTTCTCTTACATATGCATGAAAACCATGCGGTGACTGGGCTTAGAATGTTTCTGTATTTTAGGTATAAGCAGCCCGTCGAGCTAAGATTGAAACAGGAAAGGTACAGAAGCCAATTAATACAAATTCTGAATTGTCCACTGTAACCAGTCCTAAGTTAAAACATTGACACTCTAATATTTTTGTGAAATAAAATAAGAAGCCAAACCCCAAGAAGCACTGACTTGCTACAGCTACTGATAGATAGGAAAATGAAGCTAGAGTGAGAATACAGACAAGAAGTTCTAAAATTATGGTCTGTGAAACAAATTTCAGACTTACGTTTCTTTGCATTTCTGTAGGTAAGATTTATGAAAATATCTCAAAGCCATGTAATTTTGGTCATAAGAAAGGCAACATTTTCCAGTGCTGAATCATATGTTAGAGTCCCATTTCCTGTTTTCTGTAAGGAAAAAATAGCTGTATTAAAGGCAATAGTCTGATTACTACAGATTTTTTTTCAGAATGATAATTTGTAACTTGTGCATGAGAAATACGTGCAACCAGTGTTTTTTATTCAATCTACCACCTAAGTATTTCCTTCTTTTCCCTGTAGAGGTAGAATTTCCATTCCAGTAAACGACAGATTACTCTGGCCTTAGGCCAAGGTTAGCAGACCTGGAAGATCAGCTCAGTGACAAATTTAAGGCATCTCACCATGGCTCTAGGCTGGACGTCACAGAAGAGGCGAGATTCTCACTGAAGCTAAGCTTTGCTTGAGCTACAAAATGTTCTGCAACGGTCACATCATGGCACCATTAGATGAAGAAACACAATTTTAGGTCATTTGGTTCTTGATTTAACAAATCTGCAGGCTCTTCAAGAGAAGATTTCCACAAACACAAATTATGGTCTACTTTTTTCTTTTCTTTGTAGGCCTAGAAGTAAATATTTTCAGGTCTGCAAAAGGCAAACAAAGTTTCAGAGTGCAAAGGAGAAAAATCATTTTATGAATCTATGTGTTCTTTCATAGGAGTTTCATTACAAGCAATAAATGTACATAGTATGCCAAAGTTAGAACTCCCTATGTTTCATGAGAAGCAAATTTTTATGTGAGATTCTCTGATGCTATTTAAAATACACACTTTAACATGCAGTTTGCAAAAAAAATTTGTTCGTATGATCACCTGTCAGAGGTGTAAGTATGAAATGAAAGATGAAAAATACATGAACACATTGAGTCAAATTGTCCCTTTGGTCTTTTCAGTCAGCCTTGTAGAAGAGAACACAGAAAAGGTATTAACGTAAAAAATTTAAAAACATCTAGAAGTTGGAATATTTCAATAGTAGTCATAGTAATAATAATACTACTACTATACACAAATGTATCACTTACCATCTGCAAGTCACCAAAATGTTCTGTAAACAGCTCTTGCAGTTTCCTAATGTGTGAAGTTATCCCCACTCCATTTTATAAGCTGGGAAACGTCAGTGAACAGTTTGGTCCATTGTTTTCCAAAATGATCTATTTTACAGGACATACAAAAAAGCTAATATCTGAGTTACAGAGGTGCTGGAATTGATGTCAGCAGGATCTGCAGGTGCTTATTCACTCTAAAAACGAGGTTAGAAATTGTAGTCAACAGGTATTGCAGCAGGACTTACATGGCACTTCTGTCACAGCCAACTGGCCTGAACTCTGCAGAGCAAATCTGAACCCAGAACTCCTGAGTGGCAGTCCTGAGATTCTTACCCATTCCTTTCCAAGACAATAATGTAATCTATACAGATACAGTTGTTTGTTTATCTTAAAAAAATAAATAAAATCTTTTAAAAATGTGTGTTTGCCAAAAGTACAAGAATGAATGAATCTGGGGCTGGTCCTTTAAGCACAAACCTTTAGGTCAATTTAAAGAATACAAATTCAACATATTTTAATACATTCAATGGAACTTGTATGGATGTTAGTCTAATGAACACATAGTATGATATATAAAAAATGGGAAATAGCCACTAAGTGTATGTCTTCTTTTTCTAGTGACATTCGCAGCCAACAGCTGAATTACTTCACTACTTCTAAAGGGTACCTCAAAATCTGAAGTGCCTGAAGTGGGTCAAAGAACTAATAACACCGTAAATGGAGAAAAACAGAGTAGGCACGTCACCTAAGAATGACTGGTTTGTTTGTTGCTCTTTCAGGAGTTCTGCAGGGGCACAAAAAACCTGCAGCTCTGCCATGTCTCTTACTGCCCTCAGCTGACAGATGAAGCTGTGAGATCGATGGCATTTCACTGCCACAGGCTGACGTCTGTCAACATTGCGGCTTGCCCAAAGGTGCGTGTAAGAAATGGGACCATCGTTCTGGGATTGCTGTTGCAAAGAAGTACCCAGTATTTAATTCAGAAATTTGACCTGCTGGCATCAGTGTCTGGTCAAAACTCTACGATGTACTCAACTGTTTTAGAAATCAGAGCTGACTTTCCAGGTTTTAAGTTCTGAGACTTGGCTCTTGAGAGTGTTTGGCGTTCTTCTAATGGCTGTAGTTAGAACATAAAGGTGTCTGTGCTGTATCAGGTAAAAGTTTGTCTCTCTATGGGTTGACACCTAGGGAGTGGTGAAGTGAGAAGGGCTTTTCGTAGTGCTTCCTTCAAATGTTCTCTCAGCTTGTGGTGTTTTGGGTGCTTCTAAAGGGTGGTGGTTTTGTTTTAATAACTCCTGGCATTTTCATGTTTGATTTTTTGAACCCAGGCAAAGCATAAACTGAGGCATGATAACTTTGTACCCATGGCTTTACATGGCAGGGCAGTGGCTACTTTGAAAATAGCAGTAGTGCCTAAAAGCTGGTGTACTCAGAGAAATAAATTCATGCTTAATTATCTTGAGGATTCTAAGCCTACGAAACTAAATCCTTTGGAAAATGAAATTTATGAGATATTTGAATAACTTTATATCTATTGAAGGGAGTCTTCATTAAGCTGTTTTTTATAGTCAGTGGAGAGCAGTGTTCCTACAAAGCCTCAGTTAGAAAACCTTTACTGTACAATGGCAGTAAATATATTTAGGCTGGAAATTGGAAGAGTTTCTGATTATCAGAGGAGTGAATTGTAGAACAGCATCCATGGAAAGGGGATAGGAATAAAGTATTAAGGAATGTTAAGATGGGTCATGGTAAGGGAATGAACTGGGTCAGATTTTGTAGTTCCTGCAAAAGGGAACAAGAAGTAGACTCAGTGACCCAGTAATCCCCTTCAACGCTTTGTTCCCAGATGGTATCTTTTCTTTAAACAGTTATAAAGCCAATCTGTTAACTTCCAGCACCCTACTATTTTCAGAAAAGAACAGCAAGACTCTTCCAAATAAACCTACACATAAATTGACAAGTCTTTTTTTTTCACTTGACTCTGGCTCGCAACTCCATAAAATGAGATGGGTACACCTGCAGATGTTAAAACTAATGGGTCTTTCAAATCCTTTGGCAATCTCTAGTGTAAATTGAGGGGATCCAGCTGCTACGTAAGGAAATATTTTCCACTCAGAGACTTTAAAAATGGTCAGGAGATTAAAGTAAGAATGAACCTATTCCAGCAAATACATGTTAATAGATCTGACAGTCAGTCATGGCCTGCATCATCAGCTTTATTGTATATAAAAAAATGCTTTAAAAAAAAATCTTAGCAAGAGAACATGGAAAAAATTAATATAGAAATACATGTTCATTAAGAATGTTTTGGCATGTGGTATGCAGGTTACTCTAAAATTAGAAGAGCTTAATCACTTTAATCATATCTACTGGGACAAATTGTCTTTGAACAAACTCCACCAGCTTCAGTGACAGTGCAGTGAGCTCCCTTGTCACGTTTTTGTATAGCTAGGACAAGTACAAATAATTTTGAAAATGCTGATACTATAAAATATTCAGCACTGCGGTTTTGAGTCTTACTCAAGGAGTGAACCTGACTCAAGAGTATTTCTTATTTCATAGGAAAAAAATGAAGTTGCTGTGGGAAACATATCCTACACATGAAAAAATAAATCAAGAATTGAAAAGAAATTTCTGTTTAAATTAATCAGCTATTTAAATAGCAAAGTTGTGAAGGCACAGTTCGATGGACAATGAATTCTGTAATTCAGTCCTCTAAGGGGAATAGGATTGAGTGGATGATGAATGTAGATTTCTTGTAAATGCATTTGATGCCAATTACCTCAGAGTCAACAACTTTTTATTTCAATAGGAATATTGAATATTTATTAATCTATTAATCTATTAAAAGATCTAGAAAAGCACAGAATTATTATAGTCCAGGAGGACTGTGGCACAAGATAGTATGCTAATTTTGCTGTTCCACAACCCAAGGTCGCAGCTTTATATCGGCTCCTTTTCCCTTTTAGATTCTCATGAGATGACTGGCTGTTTAGTGCAACTGAAACCCTCATCTCTCTTTCCAGAACCCCACTCCACTGATTTTAATCAATGATCCTTAAAAGGTCTTTGGTACAATTCCCTCTTGATTTTTGGTCCTGACTGAACAAAGTAACTAAAGTATGAATGTGCATAATGTATTATGGACTGTTCCTGTTGAGATCAGGGGAGCAATTAAATAGCCTGTATGACTGTTCATGCACCTTGAAGACTCTATGTCTCATGTTTTCTCAAAGGCAAATTCCAGCTTCAATGGCCATGAACATCAGTTTAGAAAAATGGAATTCTGAGGTGAAACTAAGCAGGTCTGCCATAGAGCTGAAATAAAACAACTGTACATTAAAAGGATCTTGGTGTGAGACACTCATTTGTGATAGAGAACTGAGATACAAAACTGACGTAACTCACGTATAAGTGCAGTCTAATAGTTCAGTGAGAAGAATGCAATAGCAGGTAAGGCTACAGGCTTTTATGTGCTACATGCAGCATTGTGAGAGTGGAAAAGTTAAAAAATTCTGATTAGGAGAAAAAAATCCCACAATACTTCAGACTGTACTGGAATCATAGTTAACTAATACCCAGAATGCTCCCCATACTTAAATGTCAGTTCCTGCAGAACCTCTTGCAGAGATTCAGAATTCTGCTGTACCAGAAACTTTACTTCCACAAAGTATTTCAAAACATATTTTTACCACAGATTGGACACTAAAATGGTGCTCTTTTTTTTTGATTTCAACTCTTCAATAATCTTCTAACTTCTACGTGTCTTATTGCTTCATTTACAGATGACTGATACCTGTATCCAATACCTGGCTGCAGCCTGCCATTATCTTCACTTCTTGGATGTCTCAGGTTGCATTCATCTTACTGACAAAGCACTGAAATGTCTTTGGAAAGGTTGTAAGCAACTGCAGATTCTCAAGATGCTGTATTGCAGAAATGTTACCAAGTAAGTGGCTATTTCCTAATCTTAATTCATAAGTTTTTTTCTTCTTTGGCATCATGCTGCCATGTTAGGTATCTGGCTTGAGCTGTCTTGCTCCTTTGTCTAGGGGATGTCCACATTGCTGCCTTAGGATTCTTGTGGCCTGGTTTCAGTATCTACATATTCTAGTCTCAACTGGAAGCAAAGGGACATAGGCTCTTCATCTATCTTTATGGCAGACAGTGTCCTCTTAAGGAAGTTTCTGCAGACACAGGGTATCAACTCAAGGGCACGTGGGGACATGAGGGAAAAAACCAGACTGGGCCTAATATTCTCAGCCATTGCACTATGTGCTTGGGCTCATTCTGTGGGTTTGTGAGAGCCTGTTTCCTAATGGCTGAATGTCAGGATATGGCAGAAGTAGATGTAGGCCTGTGCTCAAAATACAGCATGCTTACAGCAAATGTCTCAAGGTAACATGAGCATAGTTTCATGATGTGCAAGTGAAGCATACTTGTTATGTATCTACAATTGGAAAAAACAGGTCATCTACCACAAAATCGACCAGCTTCCTCACTGCTGTAAATGGACCCAGTCTCCTGATTCCCCATGATATTTAAAAGCCAGACAGTTCTGGTCAGGTTTAGAATCATAGAATTCATAGGTCCTTCTCAAGTTGGAAGGGACCCATAAGGATCATCAAGTCCAACTCCCTGATCCTCGCAGGACTAACTGAAACTAAACCATATGACTAAGAGCATCATCCAGACACTCCTTGAACTCTGACAGGCGTGGTGCCATCACTACTTCTTTGGGGAGCCCGTTCCAGTGACCAACCACCCTCTCAGTGCAAAACTTTTTCCTAACGTCCAGTCTGAACTTCCCCTGATGCAGCTTCATTTGTTTTCCTTGTGTCCTATCACTGGTCACTAGAGAGAGGAGATCCCCCCTCGAGGAGGTTGTAGACTGCAACGAGGTCACCCCTCAGCCTTCTCTTCTCCAAGCTGAACAAACCAAGTGATCTCAGCTGCTCCTTGTATGTCTTGCCTTAGAGCCTTTTCACCATCTTCCTCTGGACACACTGCGATAATTTGATGTCATTCTTATATTGAGGTGCCCAAAACTGCACACAGTACTTGAGGTGGGGCTGCACCAGGGCAGTGCAGAGTGAGACCATCACCTCCCTCAACTGGCAGTGCTGTGCTGTGCTTGATGCACTCGAGGATGTGGCTCTCCTTTTGCTGCCAGGACACACTGTTGACTCCTATTCAACTTGCCACCAACCCAGCCCCCCAGATCTCTTTCTCTGTGGCTGTTCTTTAGGAGCAGGTGGAGAATCCAGCACTCGCTCTTCCTATATTTAATACAGTCGTTGATTGCCCAGCTCTCTAGTCTATCCTTCTAGTCCACAGCTGCTCCTAATTCAGTATCATTGGCATACTTACTTAATGTACATGTGATTCCTGCATCCAGATGACTTATAAAAACATTAAAAAGCACTGGCCATAAAACTGAGCCCTGGGGAACCCCTCTGGTGACTGGTTGCCAGCCTGATGTAACCCCATTTACTATAACTTTGTGAGCCCAACCTGTCAGCCAATTGCTCACCCAACTTATTACAGATTGTCTGGCTGTGTGCTGGACAGTTTATCCAGAAAGATACTGTGAGAGACAGTGTCAAAAGCTTTGCTAATATCCCAGACTACCACCTCTGCTGGTTTCCCTTGGTCACCTAGGTGGGTGACCTTGTCATAAGAGGAAATGAAGTTGGTTAAACAGGACTGTTCCCTCGTGAACCCGTTCTGGCTATGACCAGTGACTGCATTGTCTCTCAGGTGTTTTTCAATAACTCTCAGAATAACCGTCTTCATAATTTTACCAGTCACTGAAGTGAGGCTGACAGGTCTGTAGTTATCAGGGTCTTCCTTCTTACCATTTCTGAAAACTGGGAGAGCTGAGTTTAGAGCTGAGTTTTCAGCTGTGAGTCTCAAAGATGCAGCTTCAATGTCTGTCACCCTTCCATGGGGGTTAAAGAGCATCAAGATCAGGCACCGGACACCTAGAACTGCACAATGACCAGACATGCCAAAGGGACTGAAGCTGGAAAAGATATATACTATAAGCGTGGTCGATTTATCTGAGTATATAACTTAATCAAACTTTTTGAGAGTAAGAAATATGTGTCACTATATAGAGAGTATCCATACCAGGAGAGCTTTAATCCCCTCTCTAACAGGACCACTGTAGATAGTGCACTCCCTGCTAAATCATCCCAGGATTTAATAGTCACTTTAGAGACCACAAGGCCAATGCAGATGCTTAATAACTTAAAAGATATTTCCAGTGTGCTTCATGCTTTCCAAACCCTGCTTGCTTTATTTCCCTCTGTCTTACCACAAACAATTCTGCTGTCATTGCTTTTATTTACTTCTCTCTGACTCAAGTTTTTAATGTCCTCTCAGAAATTCCTTCTTAAAACCTCTACTTCTAATTAAATACTTAGATACAGAGAGTGCTTTGAGGGATTGGTATGCAAAAGTGGTAACTGAAAAAATTATTATATATTAACTACACTGTTCATTCTAAAAAAAGATATTTAAAATACATTTAATCTTATAACTTTCTGATTTACAGTTTTCCTCATATTAAGCCTCAAGTGATTCTATTTTACCCCAGGATTAGTGTTGTTGACTTACTTTTTATGTGATTTCCTATCTCTGTTTAGACAGTGTGTCCTCACTTTCAGGCTCTGGTTGCTTGTATATCTTCCTGCAGAAGCGAGATGTAGTAGGAACAGAAATTTGTATAAGTTCAAATTAATGTTGGGTGAGCCATGGCAAAAGAAAGAGCTGACACAACTTGTTAGAAAACCATGTGCGTTAGTGTAGCCTTTGCAGGGTGATCCAGGATGATGCCTCTGCCTCAGAGTCCCATATGCTCTGGGTTCTCCAAACGTCCCAAGTAAACTCCTCTGACTCAGACAAGGAATTTCCCAACCGGTTCTTTTTACTGTAAAGAAAGCCCTCGAGAGTCACAGATCTTTGCAAAACAGAAAAGCAACCATGAGTTGGACATCTCCACCCAGTGTTGTTTGCCCTTTTTGTGATTTTTAGAACTAGGCAAATTTTGCTGATTTTACTTTCTTGAGCCTGATTTTCTGGCACATGACAGTGGTTGGTGGTTTCCTTTGCCAGCTTCAGTCTCTAGCCCTCTGCACCATGTGTTTAATGACAGGAAACATCTACCCCATGCCATTTGAGTTTGGGACAAAAACTATCAGGTGGATTGATCATGTAGAATAATTCAGCACTGAAGATTTTTTGCTTATTCTTTCCGTTGCGGGTGATGAGCCTCCCTAGAGGCTGCCGGCTGCAAGGAGACTGACCACATCAAGGTCAGAGGAGCTTTTCAATCAGACTCTGAAACTGTCATTAGATGGAATGGCATTCAGAAAATAAAAGGGAGTCCACAGATAGATTCAGATATATTCTACATCCTGTATGTGCCACACTTCAGAAAAATATTTTTTTAATTGTAGTTTAAGGACACTATTGCAAAGATGACAAAAAAATTATCTTCTGCCAATAACTACATCAAAAGCACAGTAAAATATGGCAGTGATTCTACAGTGAGTCGTCTTGCAGTAGCTTTTCAATGACAACAAAAGCAATGACAGTACTGTCACTAGTATATCATGATTTTTTTTTTTATAAAATTATATATTTCATTCACAAGCTGTATGTTTTTAGTAATGAATAATAAGCAACAGATTGTCAGAGAAATGAACAATAGGGCCTTGTTCTCTTGAAAACTTATCCAGGTTCTTAGATTTTTCACAGAGTGTAGAAGAAAAGGCTGGTTTCGGGTGTGATTTACAGTCTGCAGGTGTGAAGCCTACATTTCAGAGGTACTTTGTTCCCAGTTTAAGGAGATGGAAGAAGACATCTATGTAAAAATCCAATTAAACTAGAGAAATAAACATGCTAGTGCCTTAGGTTCTAAATAAACAATAGGAGAAATATGGTTTTGGTTTAAAGTTGCCCTACAAAATCTATAAATAGTGTGTACTTCATTTTGTCAAAGGAATTCCCCATTATTTATTATTAAGCACTAGCAGACATCTCTTAATAGCCCATGCCTTGCAGATACTGAGACATATCTCTCGTATTGTGTCAGGTTCTTTTTCCAAGTTTTATTTTTACTGTTTCATTAGATTAAAATAGAAAACATATGGGGCCACAAAGTTCTTCAATTTTCAGTCCCTAATGAATGCAGCTTCATAGGAAACAGTTACAAGCATATAAATTCCATTTTTTTTCCAGTATCAGGTAGCATTCAAGAAGTATTTGCCAACATACTAGCCTGGTTCCAGGTTTGTTAAATGTTAGAAATAAAAATAGGTCTATGGCCTGATATCTTGCTGCATATTTCTGTATCTGAAGGCTAATGACCTTTCAATTAATCTTGTTTGTAAATGCCATAAAGAATCATGGACAATCTACCTGTGGGAATATACAATATTGGTGCAGTGATTTCTTCTACCAGAGGAAAAGAAGTCTGGCCAACTGTTCTTTAAAACATGGCTTCTCTAAGGACAAGGCTGTATCAGTTGTGATCCATGTGGACCAACCCTACAAGAAGTAACACACCAGGATCTTTAGAGAAACCCTTCTCTTCCCTGTAAAATACTCACCTTAAACTTCAAAACACAAATGCTACTTAGTCAGCTGCAGTGCTGAGAAAAGTGTGGCTCTCTGTGAACCTCTCTTGGTGCATTTTGGGGAAGGAAATCTGCCGTTGCCTTGTGAAGCCCTCGCCAGCCAGCCTTCTGCTCTAACCAAACTGCATCACATCTCTAACAGTTTGGTTCCACCAAAACCTGTCCACTGAGAGCAAAATTAACAGTTTTTGGCTTTTAGACAGAATTTACATTGGGTCTTAATAGCTACAATACATCTGATATCTGGAGAACTGATTTTTGTTTTGTTTTCTTTCATTGTGTTTTCTGAGTGTTGCTGTTGGTTATGAAATAATAGATTACAAGAGCTCAGTTTTCTGGAAGAAGCAGAATTTCTTAGGTATTATCCAAATAGTCAGGTCTCAAGGAAGGAAGGATCTGGGAGTCCAACACATGAAACTAGACATGAGGATAGCCTACACATGATTTGGTAAACGACTAAGAATAATTGCTTTTAAGTTTTCTCTTGAAGAAGCAACAAAAATCCCATGCTACTGTCTTCTCACTGACTCCAAGTAGCTCTTCAGCAGTGACATGGAGGCTCCTGGAGTGCCATGCTTCAGCCATTGTGTGCACTTGAACTGGATGCCATATAATGATACAACTCCTGCAGCTGATATGAACCTCAGAGTACTCCAGGTTTTATGTAGTCTTATCACTTCTTGTAACCTGGAGCATCCCTGCAGGATGCTTTCTGCTTCTCCCATGAGCTGCCTGCCTCCATGTGCTTCTTCAGATTAAACTTCTCCTGCATTTGGACTTCAAACAGTTCTTCCATATTTTTTATTTTCCATTACTTTCTCCTTTTGATTGGCTTTTGTAATCTCACCTCAAAAAGTCTTTTTCAAAACCTCCGCTTTTTCTTATGATGGACCCAGTCAAACGTTTCTGAATTTAGGAATGGCTCAGGATTCAGACCATGGTGCAGAGCTGTACTTCCTAGCTAGCCCCTCCTAGTGAAAGGGATTGAATCTTTGGATAGGGATTCAGTTATACACTCCAGTGCTGCTCGAGCCGTGTGTTTGGGCCAGTAAGTCTGTCTGCCACACCAAGAGTTATTTGCTTTGCCAAAGATAATTGTAATTATTTGCTGAAATACATTATGCATCAGTGTGCTCATTTAAGACAGACTATAAATAAATAAGCAGGCTCTATCATAGTACAGTATATTTTAAATAAACAATTTATATTGCCATGTGTTGATGATTAATGAACGGCTGTTTCTGGCAAACTAATCAACTGTAGCTCCAGGCATGGTATAGAGTAAGTTTCCAAAAAATAGTAACAGCTCCCCTTATACATGCTTCAGACAGCCACCATACATTGCAGTTTCCATGAAAAACAGGAATTTGGACTTGGATAAGTTGACTTTTATTTTATAGCTTAGAGCTTATAGCTCATATAAATGGTGCACACATTCCTCAGTGCACAGGCTTCCCTAGTACAAAAACAGATCCAGCCTTGTGTTCATGTGGTTCATACAGTGTGTCTGTGCTGGATTAAAAATCCACCCCACGGCGGCTGCAGAGGAGCAGCTCCCGCCTGGGCCCTCTGCGCTCTGGCCCCGCTACCCTGCCACCTGTGGGGGTGACAGTGTCACAGCTCTGTGTGTCCCCCTCCTCCGGAACCACTGTCAGCGTCTGCACTCTGGGGAGAGAAGAAAACCAAACCTGTAGCAGCTTTGCTGGCAGGTAACGGAACCCTTGAATTCGGACCTTTTTCTGTTACTGACTGGGTGCCATTTATCGCACGCTGTTACAGAGCTCAGGCAGCTGGCCATGAGCAGAAAGGCTGAATCTCCTGCAGAGGATGGGAGGTGTAGAGGGCTGGCCCTCCCCCAGCGAGCACCGGGGCTCGCCCAGCCCAGGGGGCTCCATGGGGCACGGGAGCCAGCGATGGGGGAGCCGGGGGGTGGGTGCTCTGCCCAGACAGGAGCAGGCCGGCAGCCAAGCCCCAGGAGCCATGGAAAGAAACGTCCAAACGTCTGAAAGTGAGGGGTTGAGTTTCTTCAGCTCAGGAAGGCAATGAAAGTAGCTGGACTGATACTGCCTTGAAAGGAGGGAGAGGGGAACCTTGCTCTTCAACTTCTTTCTAGGTGTCTCACTCAGCAGGCCTGATTTTCTTCTACTTCTGTGTCATTTTGCTCTAGTTCATGGGTTTTGTTTTCTAATGCCACAAAGGGGCAGTGGCCACTCAATGCTGAGGAAGATCAGAGGGTTCATGCACGGGTTTGGACATTATAAACAATTCTCTTCTGGTTCATCCATCATAAAAGCTGCAAAACAGAGCCTTGGGGCCAGTGCAGGTAACGGCAAGGCTATGGAACACTGCCCATTGCATATCCAATTGTTTCAGAAACAATATGCCTTAAAAGAGATGGGTGACAGAAGGTAACTACGAGTGGAGAGGTTAGACAAAAAGAAAGCAGAAGGTGAACCAGGAAAGGGTAAAAATACTCGTAGATGCCACAGAGAGAATTCAAAATAAAAAGCAGTGCTAGGGACCTGCACGGTTACTATAGCCTTCCTCTATAGCTATTATAAAACCAACCCAAGCCACTCTGGAGACTGTGTGGTATCTTTGGATGTAACTGGTGTATTCATCATGTTTGGTGTTTTCTTCAAGACATATTACTATTACTCCAATGCATCACCTACTCTGTCCCAAGATCTGTATTTTAGGCTCCCCAGTCAAGACAGACACTGCTGTTCTAGAGCAAGTGCAGATGAGGGCCACCAAGACCAGCAATGGGCTGGAGCACATGACATGTAAAGGGAAGCCAAGAGACTGTGCTCGGTCACAAGAGAAGGCTCAGGCGGGGGGCAAATGGCTCATTGCTGGCTCTAATTCTGATCAGAGGACACAGAAGAGAAGACATGGCCAGACTGCTCTCAAAGGTGTGCTGACAGGCCAAGTGGCATGTGTAAAGTTCTGATTACACAGAAGGAAACTATTTTTTAATCAGGAGGCTGGTCAAACACTTGAAGAGAGGGTGTGCAGTCTTTGTCCCTAGAGATACTCAGGACTCAGCTGGCAAAGCCATGACCCACCTGCCCTGGTTGGATCCATTTAGACCAAGACGGGGATAAATGATCCCTAGAAGCCCCTTCCAACCTTATTTATTCTTTGACTCTATGGCCTAATCAATTATCTTCTTCTTTTAATTTCCACAATACCTTATAAAGTTAGTGTTTAGTGTTCTTTGTAGAAATAGCATCTGCAAATGCTTTTGGTTTTAACTTTCGTGTGTTGTGTTTTGTTTTATTTTTTTTTTTAACTCTTGCAGACAAGCTGTCTTGAAATATGCAGCCAAGCTGGTGAAACCAGAACATACTGATGCTGACCCACCTTCCTGGCTTGGATATGATCGAGATGGTAACATACTCACCTTCACCAAAAAAAACACACCAGAGCCTGAATAAACAAATTCTTCAAAACAAAAGATGAAGCAGTTGCACAACATCATCTGCAGTTCAAGAGTTTTTCAGTACAGCATAAAAAGAACACTATTTTTCTTAAACCTAATCGTACTTTAATAAAAGGCTGTTTGTTGAAGGATGAAGGGAGCATTGTGAATCTTCCTCGCAGGAGGGTGGAGGCCTTCAAGCAAGCCAGCCCACGGGAGCAACACGGCCAACTTTCAGCTGCTGACTCAAGCTGCCTGCATCTTTCAATGCTAGGAAGCTTTTGTAGTGCCATGCAGGGTAACCAGTAAATCAATCTGCTTGTGTTTGGGGTTCTTGTTTGCCACAAAGGTCCTCTCCAGGACATAAACACTGTCTTCCACAGAACTTCAGAGTTGACATGGCTGGTGCTCATCAGCCATGATGAGTGTTCTTGAGTACAGTGCAGAACAGTGAGTAGGGAGTGACTGCCATCCCTGAAGACACAACCATACACCTGCATCTAAGCACAGTTCTCTACTTCTCAACAGTCATTCGTGCACCCGGAGGCCCAACTCTGAATGGCCTCTCAGGCTGAGTTCACCCTCCACCCGAGCTGATGATTACACATCATGTGGGCTGGCTGGCAGCCGATGGAGTCAGGAGAATCAGATAAAAAGGGGTATAGATGAGAAGAGTGTTAAAGGATAAATTCTCTCCAGTTACAAGAACATGTCTTCTCATCAAATGGCCAAAAATAAAAGCACACACAGAATTTGCCATTCAAATCCTAATTACTGATAACCCACTAATCTTTCCTTGTCCAGAGGAAAAGTTTCACCTCATTATAGCAGAACAAGGCACTGCTCAGATGCCTTTGGGGAAACTCCAAAAGATTTGCCTTTCTTGAGCTTGCTCTTGACCTTTATGTTAAAGTTCAAGCTGGTTTCAACATTTATTAGCTTGGAAAGAATATAGAGTTCCTTTGGCAGCAGCAGAATTTTTTGGATGGCTTATTTAAACTTCTTTAAGCAAGTCACTAACAATCCTAATGTTTCAGTCCAGCTAGTTTTAGAATATCAATGCCTTAGCTTGCTTTCTTTAGAACATGGAAGAAATAAAGTATTTTCTTACTATGTTTTCCTTTAAATTGCTTATGCAGCAGTCCTGAAAAGCATAACCTTAAATCAGAGGTTGACGGGCTTTGTATTCCAGGTGAATAATGGAACCATTAAATGGACTCCTTTGTGAAATACCTACTACACCATTTTCAATGCAGTGTGAACTCAGAAGTGCATCTTTTACTTCACAGCATTGCACAGAGATCATTAATTAAAAAAAAAAAAATCAGGCAACCTAAACCCATTACACATTTATTAGTTTTGTATGTTGTAATGCTTCTAGTAATATATTAGTAATGTTTTATATATTAGTGTTTATATTAAAAATACATATTATTTGCCATACACATCAGTGCCCACCTCATCCAAAGAAACAGTACACAAAACTGCAAACAGAACATGGAGTTCTTAATCATTCTGAATTGTAGTAAACATGCTGCCCTTGACTACTGAAGCCCGTTAGCCAGGGGCAATATACCTCTTAGGGAATCCTGTGGCAAAGGAGAAGTTCATTTCAAAATGTACCATTACAACCTAAAGCGTGTATACACAACTTAAAACCTGAGCTGATACTCTGAACTCTTTTGCTACTCTCCATCCACTCTCTTGGCAGGAATCCTTACATTTCAGTTTTAAAACACAAATTTCAGTACTTCTTTTATAAGGTGCTATATATGTGTACGGAAAGGCGTTTAAATGTTCCGTTTCCTTTGCTGTGTTTGTAGGAGGGTCACACAAACTCCTCCACAAGAATGATGTATGCCCTGGAGCAGGACAAACACGTTTCCCTCCCCTCGCTCCAAGGGTTTACAGTCCCGTCACGCAAGGCTGACAGTAAGTCACTGGAAATGCAGCAAACAAACAAATTACAGTTCTCCTCTGTTAGGCCAATACTTCCACCATTTGGCAGCTTTTACTTTAGGGGAATGTTCATTGTAGACTCAACAAGAAAGTCCAGTTGGTGGAGCGTTCCTCTTGAAATCAGCCAGATCCATTGCACTTCTAAGTGTGCGTTTCAAAAGCTTTTCTTTGCAGATGAACAGTGGCAGACAGACGGAGGTTTCGCTTCTACCCACAAACAAGTGGTTCTGGATGACACAGAGCAAGTTCTGTCATTTCATGGAAGAAGTTTTACACATACATTCTGCCACTGACTAGGTAGAAACTGCTTAGGGGTTAAACACCAAATGAGAAGACCAAATAAAGACTACAGTTCTGAAAGTGGTTTTATCCTACCCATGATACAAATAATTTGGTCGAAGAAAATTCTCCACATTTTGCATAAACCAGAACTCCCACAGTACTGAGACATAGAATTAAAAAATCTAAAGTTGTACAGCATGTCATTTTAGAAGTGAATTTCCACATTTTCAAATACATGATGTTGAAAATGCTTTTTATTTTTATGATGACTCCAAACTTTTGTTTGAAATTTACCAGCTTTTAAGCTGATGTGGTAAGTGGGTCAAATGCTACACGTTCTGAATATGTATGATATTGTTCCTAAAAAGGCACTAGAAGTAAAGCAGTGGCT